CCCTACACGACGCTCTTCCGATCTCCCCAAAACCCCAAAACCCCAATTATTAATATTCAGAGACAATATTGAGTAAAAGTAATTGATGAAATTAAGTTATTGTTTAAACTGTTTGGATGGAAATTAATATAGAATTCATCTTATGTTGATTTGTTCAAATATTTTAGGAAAGCCTGCTAAGACTCTGTGTCTGTCCTTAATTGTATCTAGCATTTTCTAATAATTCATAATGAAGTCTCCATGCTTTAATTCTTAGAATGGACTTGCTATTTATTAAATTTGCCAATCTTCCAATTTTAGCTGAATGGCATTTTCATTGAGCATTTATTTGCGTAGGAAATCTATCAGTAGCTTCTTGGCTTCTTCAAATCTTATGAAACCATCTTAATTCAAGCTCTCTTTATAAAGTTTTTCCAAGGCTTTTTTGTTTTTGGTGATTAAATTCAAGAGATTTGTATAGTCCTTACTAGACACCCAGCTACTCATATTTATCATTTCATTCTCACTACGAGGCTGCATTGATCCTCCTCTCTTGGCAAATCCTTGCATGCTTCTGCTAACCTATGCTTATTATGATAAAAATGTCTTTGTCCATTCATTAATATCTATAATGCCATCTTTCCTAATGTCTATTTGATCAAACATATCTTTTATTATTGGGTAAGTAGGAGGTTCATCGCTCTGCAATTAATATAAATTTGAAATGAGGCTTTAAAAATCATTGTAGGTCAGTCTTCCCTTACCCTCCTTGTCAAACTATACTTAATTTTAAATGATTAATCTTACAAATCTAAATGCATCCTCTGGGGAAGTCATTTACTCATACATCATCTTCTTCAATCCTTTAAGTCTGTTATTTCCTCTCAAATCGATCAACTCCTCATCAATCCTAGATATAATAAAACTTGCTTAGAAATTACTCCATTCTTTTGAGCTTGCTCTCTAATAGATTTAAATCTATCATTCCCTCCTAATTATACACCAATACCTCCATAAGTCTATCAATATCCTTCGAATTTATATTTAGTCTTTTCATAGAGTTTTTAAATTCAATGCTGCTAGTCTTTCCATTCGCATTAGCTTGGCAGAGCTCTTTTAAGTTAGTCACCCCCATAGCTTGGAGGTTCTTTCTAAGTCTGTCCAATGTTAAATCGTTGCTTATTTTTTATTGAGTAACTGGATCTATCATATTTGAGAAAAATGTGGCAGCTCTAAGCTCATGAGACGCTTAAGAATTTTTAATTTAATCTGGACTTTACTAGAGTTTAGAGTAGAGTTGATTTTAGTTTTACAATAGCATCTAAGTTATATTTGTATAACCTGGATTTTAAGAGTTATTTGTAAGTGCAGATTAATTTCTGAGATTACCCCTGGTGTTTATAATTGAAATACTTTTTGACATTGAAGTTTTCAGCAGATGCTTATTAATCATATCATGCATCTATGAGTCACTTTTGAATACTAACCCTCCAAATAATGATATAAAATCATGCCTATTCAATGTAGATTTACCTTGCCCAACTATACTATCCCATATTAACTATAGTTGGCTTTATTAATGTCTTCCTGGCAACACTTAATCCATAGTTTTTTTAAAACCCTCAAAATTTATCTCACTGGATTTACTCTTGTCTATCATGAATTAAAAAGCTTGCTATACTGAGTTAAATGTAGCAGTAAGGGCTCCTTTTATATCTAGCAATTTAGTTTCGATATTCTTGAACTCACCTAAAATTATGTTATAGCATTAAATATAATATTCATACTAAAGTGCAACTTCCAATCATTCATTGTGAGATACCCTTTTCTGTGCGGGTCCATTGCAGCAAATAATTTTTAAAGCAATTGATTTGTTAAGTTGAAGCCATTTAAAACATTATACTTATTTATAAAGTTTAGAAAGTCACCATATCTTATCTTTAGTTCCTATTCTCTCTGCTAACTTACAATATCTATTGAAATATAACTACAAAAAGAATATTTCTATTAGACTTACTTTCAAAGGATTCTTGAAGAGTAGAGTACTTTTCTGATATAAATTTTCCAATCTAATAAATGCATCCTATCTGCCAGTTAAAAGTGTTTAAATCATCTTATTTCTAGCTTTTATTTAAAGCAGATTATTGATTTTATAAGATTCTACTTCTAAATGTAGTTGTCTTTCCATTTTCATCTCTTGCATTGGTTTACAATTGTAATATAGAAGAGTAAACTCCCTCAAAATCAGATGGAAAAATTTTGTCAGTCTTGCTAATATCTAGGATCTTGTAAAGTCTATTGAGTTTAGTATTTTAAATGTCTTCATTTTCTAGCTTCATAACTTGGAGCAGAAATCCTTTAAGATCTTCTATACTAATATTCCCATCAAAGTCTTAATCTATTATCTTAAATGCTTCAGTAGAAGAATAGTTCTTTTCTACTATCCACTGCTTGATTTCTTTGATTACAGTTTACTCCCAATCAAATGTATCTGCTATATGAGTCTGAATTGGATCTCTAAGAACTGTAATGCTTTTATTGAATAGATCACAGAATTATTCACTAGAAATTAGCCCAGTTTTTAGATGATCCATTTAAGCAAAGAGTTTTTCTTTTATGGCTTCTGATAATGTTGAAAACTTATCTATTTACTCCGAAAATACTGGGTATGATATCAAACCAGTTTAATTTATATCTAGTTTTTAAAATCCTTGAATAGGGTTAAGACCTTTATGTTTCAAATCATTTCTGACTTTATTAACTACCTCAACTAATTTATCACCAACTAAATTTTCTGTTGGAAACAACTTTTTATTACTTGCTTATTCCATGTGGCTTCCAATAAAGCTCATAGTTGCTGCTGAACTTGTAGAATATCCCCCAAAACCTGTTCTAGACAAATGTGATGAACTTTGCAGTAATCTGTTTGAGAATGAATTAGAACCTTTTTCTGGAGTTGACAGGATAGCAGTAGAAGTAGATTAATCATCAAAGAAATCATGAAAATTAATTCTTGCCAGGAAGTTTTGCATGTCACTTTCCCCTATCCTATTATCCAAATCTAAATCTATATGTCTAATCAATTCACATATTTCATCCAATGTTCTTCTTTTATCAACTTTTGCTTTAATAAATTTTGCAAAAAACTTCAGACTAATCGATTTATCGTCTCTTGACTACTTCTTATTAGACTTTGACTGATTTTTTGTCTGTATCAATTTAGCAATTAAACTTCGGTGGTCTAAGTTATTTTATTTCAAAAATACTGCCAATCTAACACCCAGAGATTTTAATGGGAAGTTTTCTTTTTAGTTTTCAAATGTTTGAACAAGCTTTTAGTAATAAATCAGTCCTTTTTAGTTCTTTTTAATTTATCTTATATATTTTTCTAACTCTAGTTTCAAAGCTGGTACCTTAATGTCCAACAAAATTTTTAATAGCTATTCTGGTGTAACTAGTCCTTCGTTATTCCTATCTGCTTCTTAAAATTTTGCTCTGATAGATATAAGGAGTTGATTTTTAGTCAAGTAATCTTAAATTCGTTTAGTCATAATTTTCTTGAAATTCACAGTATCTGCTTGCTCTCCTGTAAGATTTTTTATTATCTATGCAACTTCAACTTTATTATCATCTGAATTCTTTAAAAGTTCATAAAGGCTTTTAATTTATAGCGGATTGAGAGATGAGTCTACTTTCATGATGCATTCTTTAAACTGTGTAAAGTTTAGAGGCGCATCCATAAGTCTCTTGCCCATTTTATATAAAATATCATCTCCAGACAAATTATACTGTAAAATGCAATCTCTAAGCATTTAAAGGGGATTTAAATCTACAAATTATTCATCATAAATTCAAAAGCTTACGATCATCTTAAATAAACTATTGCCATTTATTTAAATCAATGTAGCCATCATTATTCTAGTCAAATTTGCTAAACAAAAAATCAATTTAAGCCAATGAAAATGGAAGATTTTCTCTTTTCATAATGTCTCTAAATTGATATTTAGTTAATCTAGGTTAGTCTTTGCTTCCAAGCATGAGTATGAATCTCTCAAAAGCTTCTTGAGAAGAAGATTTCTTTTTTATGATATAATCTCTGATAATTTTTAATCCTGTATTAAACCAAATATCATCAACAGGTTATGGACTATATGTAATAAAAAGGATTTAAATATACCTAAAGTTCTTTTTAAACCTTTTGTAGTTAAAAGGTTTTTAACTTACCAAGTTACGATAAACAGTTTCGACATCTCTCGTTGAAAATTTATCGCTAACAATATTCTTGATAAAAGTAGTAAACTACTCTAATGTCATTACAGTTTTTTCATAGTTATCATTGTCTGACTCAGTTGATCTCTAAAATAATACTCTCAATTCTAGTCCTTTGTTATAGATATAATCCCTGATTTCATCAATAATCTTATCACTTTTTGATTTATTGAAAAAATCTTTATGCTCTATTTCACACTAATCAACATAGTTTTAGCAACTCTTTAAAATTGTTTTAATACTAATTTGGAAATCTGAGTTTATTCTTTAAATTAGAAGCACTCCCACTAAAACGTTTTGCAGCTAACTTAAGCTCAGATTGACATCTGTATTATGGAGATACATTACAATCTCTGGGACGGTGAGCATCGATTTTAAAGTTAGCCTATTATTCCTTAGGGCTTATTCAATTTGTTTCGAGCATTATATTAAATGTTTTGCAGTAGATTTTAATGAAACTTTGTTCAATCTCTCTATTTTTTAGGTTAGACTTGTTCCAACTGTGGTAGAGCTCACAAACGAAACACAAGTAAATGGCCTAGAGAATGATGTGCTTTTGGATACATCTGAAAATCTCGATTGAGCTTTAGGAGACATTATTGATGTCAATTCAAGCTGCTCGTTATTACTTTTGTTTAAATACCATCCATTTTAAGTCTCATTAATTTATGGTAACTCCTAAAGAGACTTTGCAAAATTTGTTAGTTAGTCACTTCCATTTCTCATATCTTTTCTAGCATTTATTTTCTTAATTGGAGATTCAAGTCCATAATCACTACTTCCCATGTTTGCTTGATTATTTTAGACTATACTATTAATTTCGTCAATAGTTAATTGGACACCCAATAGATCTCTTATTGAATTTTGTATTGATTTTTAATCAGTTTTTCTTTCTCTTACTATCTTTTGAAACCCTTAGCTATTTATGTAATTGAACAATTTTTAAAACTACTATTGACTGAGCTATTTCTAAAGTCTATCGACTATTTCTTTATAGTTTTTGGAGTTATTAAAGCTAGTATTTTGCATTTCTTGAATTTCTAAATTTCTATGAGAATTATTAGTATTCATAAAATTTGAGACATTTTGCTGACTACTTGGCATTCTATGCTCTTATGAATCATTGGAGGCTAATTATTTCCTTTTATTAAAATAATTTGAAGTTTGAGATTTTACACCCTCCGAGTGTCTGTTTGGAACCACTTAATGAAGCTGCTATTTGTCTTTAAGAACTTATGAATGCCTAGAAAATCTATGAGTTTAGTTTTAATAATCAGACCCAACTCCTTAATTTTATAGATTCTTAAAGCTATTTATCTGCTAATCATTCTGATGTTCTTAGAATCCAGTTGTACTTCTATTTATTTATGTAAATATATATAATGCTAAATCAATAGTAATTTTTAGTGGAAGAATAGACTTACCTGACATAAACTGAATGTCTCTATTTATTCATCATTTTTATTCCTATTTTATTTTCTAATCTTTATTGTTTATTTAAAGACTGTAAGGGGTTTTGGGGTTTTGGGG